ATAATTCATTTCTTTGTTTTTCACCTGTTACTATCCATTTTATTTATTTTTTTGTTTTTTTTGAAATATATTTTTTAACGTATTACATATGGAAGAAATTAATAAAGATTTGAATTTTGTTAAGTTGAAAAATTATAAAACACTTTTTTAACTGAAAGTTTCTAAAGAATCTTTAACACTATCCGTGACGGCCTGTTTTTATTTTCTCAGTGATTGGTTCTGGCCCCTCCTTTTTTTTAATACCTAATATTTTTACATGCTGCTAGTGAGAGAACCTGTTGTTAAAATATTTGAATCCCACCACTGTATATGTATATATATATAATATACAGTACTATAGCAGTAACAATTTCCTGGGCAATTCGTAACTTTAAGCTTTAGCAAATCCCCAACCTTCAGGCACTTGCCCTCTGTCTATTGACCTACTGTAATTTGTAAATTAATGACAGCTTTAAAATCTGATCAGTGACCACCTTTAATACCCTGGGAAAAACACTGTCTGGTTCTGGTGTTTTATCAGTTTTCTTCTCAGTAATTCTTTTTATCACCATTACTATTTTATTGAATCAGATGAGAAATACAGCTAACATCCTTTCTTTTGAAAACACCAGAGGAAAAGTTTCATCATGTCATAGCTCTCAACAAAACTCTTGCCATCAATATCATGGGGCAAATCCCCATTTTTTATATTTTGCTTACATTTAAACATACATAAAATAATCCTTGCAGTTATTGAATTTATTATTTTTTTAAACCAAATTCCATGCTTTTCTGTAGTTTTATGAATATTCCATCCTGTACATCAAATTAAAATTGTAAGCTTATTGAACTTATTCTTGATTTTTGCTCTTCAAGTGTGAGTAGCAGTTTAACTGTATATAAGGTAAATAATTCAGGTGAAGCTGTCATATTCTGAAAAATAATTTTTGACTAAGTAGATAACTTCCTTGAATTAAATCATTTTGTGATACCGATTGTTCAGTTTTGTTCTTTTATCTGTTACTTGTTGAATGTTCCATTTTAAATAGCAAGGTTTTATTTAATAGGATTATTTTCCTTTTTGTAAGCACTTAATCAACTAAATTATTAAAACTAAACCTGAGAAAAAAAAGTACATTTTTAGTAATTATTACTTTTTTGTTTAGATCTACAAATCTCCATGATTTTAGCATGTCTGTTTCTGATTTTTCAACTCATTAATCAATGAATTCATTCCCATTACAACCTCGTATATCCTTATCTGAAATATGTGCTTTTTTCAATAAAACTGCTGTGGGAAATTTATATTACAACTTGCTTTTACATCTACAAGTTTTTAGCCTTCGTGAAATATGAATCTATTTAAAATTAGAAAAATTTTGGAATGAGTTTTTATACAATATAATTTTATATACTCACATTCTTTATGGCTTTAATGTGTGTGTATCATATCTAATATGCCAAGAACTTTAAGATAAAATGTATATTACTCGTATATGATTGTAAGTGTGGCTTTGCATTCCATGCAAGATTACTCCCAGCATCACTTTTCCAAAAGATAATTAGTGAAATTTTCTTAACCAAACATTCACCACTTAAATATTCTATTCTTATTTGGAATAATTTCTATTTTTTTTCTGTATGCAGTGTGACTGATTATTAATAAAAAAATTGTTTTGTTAGCAATCTATTAAAACCTTGCTATAGGGTAAAAATGAAGTGAAAAAGTTAGTGATTTTTAAAAAGGGTTAAAAATATCAGGGAAAATGGAAAAAGTATCCAAAACCAGGAAAAGAGAGGAAAAATTGTGAGCTCTTTCTTTTTTTAATCACTTAACCTGCACTTGCAACTATTCAAATTGTTGCTGTATTTTAATATAATCTTGGTTAATCACCCAATCTTGTGATAATTAGTAATTATATTTGATGATTAGGTTATTCTTTTATAAATAAATGAAATGTTTTATTGTCTCCAATCAAGTTTCAATATTTGTATAAATCTTATTCTATAGTACTGTAGTCCGAGTCTTTAGTTTTAGTTATCCTTTATTATTAATTACAGTGTAATGTGGTGTTAATTAGGTACAATTATGAAGAAAAGTTAAAATATCAGTTGTATGTATATGTATGGCATGTTTGGAAACCTAGAATTTTTACCTAGAAAATTGGGGAAAATATTCTGGAAAAATGTGGTCACACTTTACTGTTTTAAAATAAATTTATGTGTGTGTCTCTCTCTCTTGATGTTTTCAAGCAATGTATTCGTGATGTGAATAAAAAATAAACAGATAATTAAATTCTATTTACTTATTGTAAAGTATTGGTTCCTTTTAAAAGTCTATATTTAATTTCAAATACGGCAGATCAAACTACAGTTTGCAGTGATACTTCAATTATAACAGCCCCAATTTTTATGCTATGTAACAGGTATAAGTTACTTTGCTCATGTAGTTGCACAGAACATATCTACCACTGTATACAAAATTAGAAAATAGGATTGTAATTACAGGAATGATTTGAAAAATATATGTTTTGATTGTAAAAACAGATTTTGTATATTTTGTTGCAATGAAATCACAATAAACATGTAGATTACAGTTTTTATTATCTTATTGAAATTCATTTGATTTCAATAAATAAAGCAAACATTACCACTTAAAAAAAGTGGGAAATTGATGTTTTTCCATTGAAATTTGATGCTACAAACATTTTTCAATAAAACGTTTGAAATAGTTCTAATGATAATGTGCCTGAAGACACTATAAACGCTCCTTTATTAAAACAACCCACCAAAGCATAAGACCTAAACTCCCTTAGTTCTTAAAATCATTTATCTATCCATCAGAAGCTTAAGTCATTAAAAGTATCAGCATGCACACTAGAATATAAGGAAAACCATTTTACAATTTTATAATTAAAGAGTAACATTTAGACAAAAACAGGTCGAATCTAGACCTCTAAAGTTAAAACTTGTATCCCTTAATACTCACCCCCCAGTGGCACAGCGGTATGTCTGTGGACTTACAATGCTAGAAACCAGGTTTCAATACCGTGGTCAGTAGAGCACAGATAGCCCACTGTGTAGCTTTGTGCTTAACTTCAAACAAACAAACAAACCTTTAACACTCAATGGTATTTTGTAGAATTTGTAAGCTAAGCAAGATGTTAAAATTATCATCAGTGGTATCAGCATGAATTGTTAATAAAGGTGTTCTCAAAATTAAAAAATGCACTATAATGAGTTTTCAAAAAAGGTATTAATATAAAGACTTGTTTTCACCAAAAATGTTAAACATATGTTCCAGGTATTTTGATGTAATATTGACAAAAACATTATGGTGAACTTTCTTTTACGGCTTTACTTAAACATTCCACAACTTTTTGTTGTAACGAGGACTCAAGCAAGATGCTGTAACTGATAGTAGTAAAAAACATCTAAGATTTAAAACAACAGGTTAATAAATCTCTATTAATCTTGTGTTTCAAAATTCTAACAATAAATTTAAATACAAAAATGATAAAACCATTTTTGACAGCTATACTTTTCTAATAGAGTGGTTGGCTTTTGGAACAGGTTGCCTTTAAATGTGGTAGATGCAACTAATTCAAGGAAGTTTAAGTGAAATTGATAAATATTTGAATGATAAGTACTGGCTTTGAGTTTTTAATTGATTAATTTAGTGGATAGAAAAGGTTCCTTGTTGTTTTTCAATGTTAACTCTCAATAAAGGTTTTACGATAATCTATGGTTAACCTACTACCTATACAAATTTCTCTGAAAACTCAAGATAAAGATGTTCTAATGAAGGTGTTGTAATTGAGCCCTAAGCAACTGTAACAATGCGAGTTTTAACTGCAGGTTTTGATAAAAAGTCCAAACATGGTTATTACCCTGTACTGCCAGTGCCATCAGTAGTTTGATCATAAAATACAATGTCAGAAGTTATTAAAAAATACTTTGGTTACTAAATACAAAATCTGTTGATAGTGTAAACTTTTTTAGTTCAGTAACTAATTTCAGTTCTCATTGTAGCTGTATATTTAAAACATTTTACCAACAACATTTAAATATGATGTAGCACTTACTAACAGTATTCAAAATACAGAACATGACAACAGATTAGAAGAGTATTTATAATTGAATTGTTCAGATTACTTATGACAAATTAATTTCTTCATATACACAGTTTAAAATGCACTTACTTGATCAGTACTTGTACAAACGCATCAGGGTCTAAACTCAATTTCTCAAGTTTTACTCAAAAGATGTGTGTTTTAAACTTGTGTCATCACATAGTTTGCTTCATTTAAATTTTAACTATAAATTTACTTCCTGTAAATTTAAATCCTTAACTGCAAGCTCTGGTGCTGTGGTAAAGAATAAAATTACCAGATTGTTTCAGCATAAAACTTTTATTACAAGGGTAAACTTCGCATTAATTTGACACACAAAGTAATTATTATTTCTAAACCAAAATCTGATTCCCTGCATTACAAATGAATCAGCAAAAATTAGATTAATAATCAAATGGTCAACTTTAAAATCGTTGGTACATCTGTAGCTTTATTAACAATTTCTTTAATCTCAAAAAATGAAAGTTTTTGATTAATGAAAACTTTCAAAGTAATCCCTGCAGTTGTGTTGATATATCCTAACAAACAGAAAATTGTGACAAACAATATAAAATACAAAGTAAGATATTGCTTATTCATTGTAACCAAATAATAAAAGCAAATTTTATCAAGAAATGTAACAACGTTGCAAGCTACCAAATATCATATGTTGAAATATAATAGCTACTGTTAAGATATGAAAAATAAATTATAATTACAACTAAAAAAACCAAAACATGAACAAACTTCCATAGGAATACTAACTTAAGAAACAAAATTAGCTTACTTCAAACTGTTTTTAGAATGTTATTCACCCACATTTTACACTTAGCTTCAAGAAACCACCATCTGTATAGTTTTTGAAAAGTGTGATAATGCCTATTTTCAATAGATTCTCTGTGAAGCTTCTCACACACGTCACAAAACCAATAAAAATATTTAATTTCAATCTCAAATGTTTTTGTCCACTCCTGATAATTCTCCACAAGTTTCTCGGTTTTTGAGACAGTTAACAAATAGTTTGCTAATTCTTTAGGAGATGAAAAATTCAGTGCATCAATGTAAGAATTTGGAGGCAAAAATGAACTATAATTTGCACCACTGAACATAACTGGTATAAGGCCCACTTTTAATGCCATATACAATTTTTCTGTAGCATAATCCTTGCATATTGAATTTTCAAACGCCAAGTAAAATATATATTGCTGGGCTAAGCTTTTGAAACACGTCATAACAGGATTAATTGGATAACATCTGTTATAATTACAGCTACCGTATACGTTAACTGGAATAAATCGCTTTAATTCGGTAACAAAGTTCTCCCTATTAGATGGGGTTTTACAGTTGCTTACTATCCATACAGCCAACCTTTTTTTTGAAATACTTGTGTTATTCAAAGATTTTTTCTGGTCAGTATTTACAACGGCAATCAGTTCAGACTTATTCTTAGCGACGAATTTCCCATAAGGAACAAATATGTCCGAATCAGTACGATAGGTTATTGTCCAATTAATGTTGTTTCTTAAGGCTTGAATATTTGCAACTGGCGTGTGATGAGGGGACTCAAGATTAAAAAGAGCCCATCGTTGAAAAGCTGGATGAGTTGATGGAAGGTCATGGGCTTTAGTATCTCTCCAATGAAAAATTACAAGATTACTGTAATTAAAACGGTTTCGGTCTTTGGTTATTTCACACCGTGTAATCGGGCAATTCAATTTTTGAAGAGAAATATTACTCCATTTTGTGCTACTAAAGAACGGTGTCCACAGTAATATCACTTTCATATTTAATTGAGAAAACTCAGAAGGTATGCTCGTATAAGTGGAAGAAATCCAAGGAAAGATATACTTGCTTTTACTAGTTGTACAACTCCATTCTGAATTCATTAGAAGACTACTCAATATTATCAGTAAAAGTAAAAAAAATACGCCATATAACATGGAAGAACGCATCTCTAATACAACGACAATAAAAACACTATGAATAAGAATCTAGACATATATAATTCACTAGACTGGCAACGGCACCTCACGGGCGTGCACGCGAGTCCGATATCTTTGCCCATGAATTGTGGAAATTTGTCTCTGGGTGTCGTTAAAATTTGCAATGGTAAAGTATGACTATTTGTGTTTTGTTATTTATATTTAAAATGCTTTGATCTAAGTGTATGCACTTTATACACATACCTGTTTTTCTTTTCATTTTTATTTATGTATTGTTGTGTCATTAAATTACATCCATATTCTTATTTTGGAATGAACATTATAAAGCTTCATTATATTTCATGTACTGTCACGACTGTCAATAGCAGGCCTAGAATGTGGTATTAATATTAGAGTTGTATCTTGTATAAGAGGCAGGACAAAGGTTGGAATTTTGTTCTATATATCATTTTCTGTTAAATACAATAGGTATTTTGTCTTGTACTAGTCACCTTCCGCAATGTTAAGGTAAAAGAGAATAGCTTAATATTTTATGAATAAGCAGATGTTTGGTTACTTGTTATTTCGATGGCCTGGTATTGTACACAGCATTAAAGGTAATTGTGTTTTTAGGGTAGTATATAATCTGATGACGCGTTAAATATTTTTCAAATAATTTCACTTTTAGAAAAGAGCATATACAAAACCAGGTTTAGCACTAATCCATAAGGTGGCAGGTATTAAATCAATATGAATTTTATATTGAAAATTATATACAATTATCAGAATTTGACATAGAAATATATAAAGTAGTAAGTTTTAAAAATGTTTCATGATAGGCTTTACACATTGAAGATACATATTCTTGATTTGAATACATTTAATAGTTCAGCTACCAATATGAATTTCTCTGGAAGATTATGAAAATATATGTTTTGAAATTTATCATTCCTGCTAAATTTTCAGCAGGTTATATTTGTATTCAGTTGTTGGTTTCCAAAAGAACGAAAGAAGAAGGTAGTTTGCAATAGATGAAGAGATCTAATGAAGAGGAGTCAAAGTCGTACGACGAGGTGTGCAGTCAGCATTCCGTCCACACTGATTTCTATGGAACTTAACAAAATCTTAAGCTGCATGATTGGGCTGTTCCATCTGTTTTCACTCTACCTCATCATTTGCCAAAGGTACTTCAATACCATATTTTTTCCCATTGTTTATCTAAAAGTATATAAACAGTAAAAGCCCTGTTGTACAACATCTACTGGAACCTGGGCAGTGCCGAATAAGGGAAAATTCCAGTTACGAGAGCATTTCCCTTACGATATTTTACAGGAAAAAATTTAACACCTTGTTAATGTTTTATTTAAAGTACAGTATTTCTACATCATATGTAACAATCCCAGTTTTAAACAACAATAAATGTTATAAAAAAAAAGCTTAAACTGTATAAAGAAGATTATTTTAAATATGAATCACAATACAGATGGCCAAAAACTGAGGATAGCCACAAAGAAAAGATGTAAACAAAGCCATAGCAGCTTCATTAAGCTAAAATGAGTATTTGTATTTGGGGATACTGAAATTTTCGGTTGTAAGAGCTTTCCGGATACGAAGGTGGCACATAACAACGCTTTTACTGTATATATATATATGTTGCGTCAGCGAGTCACATGACTACCGTGACGCAACGTTTCTAGAACTATCATGTACTTTGGCGAATGCTCTAGTATTTACTAGATAGGGTAGGCTGGTATATATAAGAGGTGGAAAACGTGACGCGGGAAGGTAATGTAATGTGTGTGTAGATAGTGAGAAATTGAACTGCAGTCAGAAGTATTGTAGACGTTTGTTGTTACAGCGTTTGTTTAGCGCGATTGTTGAAGTTGAGTGTATCGGTAAAGTTATATTCGGAAAGAATAAACCAGTTTTATTAAGAAAGGACTTGTGTCGCTTAAGTTTCGTCGGAACGAAGTTACGAAAAATCAATTAACAAGCGGAGACGTAACATATATATATATATTTATCTAGATAAATTTAATGTTTAATGTTTATATTAGTGGTACTTGAGCCTACTTACCATGCACAGGGATCAGATAGTGTTGCTGATATATGTTGTGTACATTATATGTAGAACGAATAACAACTACAGTGAACATATCCTATCTATTTATAAGTCTAGGCACACATTTCAAACCAAACATTACATTGTCTATTGCTACACATAACAATCTTTTATAAGGAATATATTATTTTAGATATTTGTTTCACCATCATTAGTTTGCTAATCAATCAATTTCATGTTCTAAACAATCAAGCTACAAGAATTTGATACATCCAGGAAGGCGAACCAAAAGAGGTTTGTATCTCCACAAAAATCAGGGGCCTGGCATGACCAAGTAGGTTCGAATCCTCGTGCCACCAAACATGCTCGCTCTTTCAGCCGTGTAAGCGTTAAGATGTGACGGTCGAACTGACTATTCGTTGGACTATCATCAGTTTGACCATACAAACGATCAAACACAGAGTGACAATTCATAAACTTGTACCATTACACATAATCTTTAGTATTTTTTCTGCACATGCACACATTAAAAATTTTAATTGTCAATTACATTAAGCATTTGTAGATTTCCCACTTTTCTTTCTTGAAATGTACAACAAAAAACATATCTTAGCACTAGATTGTGAAATAAACTGATAAAAGATACTATTTTTATACTATTAACCTTCATTATTAATTTAAGGTACAGGTGGTCTATATTTTTATAAAAGTTACCAAATATTCAGTTCAAATTATGTAAGTGAACTATATCTTATTAGTAATTTGCAATACAGGCTTCTAGACTCGTAAAAATTACCATATTCATGATGAAGTATTAACTAATTTTAAAATTTCGTCGATTGTTCAGTGTTCAACAACAGCAGCAAAAATATTAATTCGCAGTTTATAGGGAAACGCGTCTGATAAATGCCACATCTATAAAAAATCATAGAAATAATAATAGTAAAAACTACGATTTCCGTAACTGAATAAGTGACCAAAAATGCCTTGTTGACAACTAGAAATTCTGAACCAAGATGGTGGTTTCGTTGCATACGTCAACCAACTGATTACTGCAGTCGTTGCGGTATAGGTGTATGATAGTCACTAAGTTAAAATCTTATTATGTGTAATATAGTTGCGGTGAAAAGGTTCGCATCGTTTTTCTTATGCACCAACTCACGAAAGTCTCCAATATTTTTCTTTTACATATTTTATCTTTCATCCATGTTTCTGAACAACATAAGAGGGTGGGCCAGATTTCTTGATGTTAATAATCTTTGTATACTGATGAAAGTGGATTTTGCTACCACAGTTACTCTTCATATTTTCCTTTGAAACCTCCCGTTTTTTGTGAGTAGATGTCCCATATATATGTGTGTGTGTGTGTGTGCTTGGACATTAAGAAAATTAATACTATTCATCTCAGAGCAATAATTCTTAGTGTATACACCAATGAGAACACGAATCCGTGGTTACCTGGAAAAGACACCAAATGACGTTAAGTGTTGAATATTAGGCAACTTCATTCAGTTGTCTATCGCATCATTTCAAGAATGCAGGTCATTGTTAACCTGACTGGTGGCCACACTCAGCAAATGTATCGCCATCTGGTGATAATTTCCGGTGTCTGCGGATTCGTGTGTTATATATTCTTATGGTATATCCACTATAGTTATTGCTCTTCAACGAATAATATTCATTTAATTGATGTTTGCACACGTTAAGAAACTTAATTACAACCTGGTGTGTCTTATTAAGGTTAACAGCTTGAAAAAAGAAAAGCGAGGTAATAAAAAAAATTACAGTAAGCTGGTTAATGTAAGAAAATTATTAAGAACTAAGGAGAAAAACTCGTTCTTCGCGTAAGAAACATTTTCTGGTTGTGGTATTTTGTATTTGAATGCACGAAGTTTATTAAATGCAAAGGTTAAATGATCTATCTAGACCATGGGCGGAGGGGGCAAAACATGTAGGTAGGGATCAGCTTTTATAGTGTAAGTCAAATAACAAATAATATGTATTATATGTGCTTAAACGCAAACACAAATTTACAGTTTTAATAAAAATTACAAAAAAATATTTAGTTTAACTACGATGTTAAGTTTACCTCATAATACGTGGATTTTTTGTGAAATATAAGGGAGGGCAAATGCCCCTCTTGCCTCTTCCTGCGGGGGCCCATGGTCTAGACTACTCACGTATGAGTTAGTAATGTAGAGTTATGGTGGCCGTGCGGGGTGTCTCATTGGCTACGAGGTTAAACCTGTTCCACAACATGTGATACCCACCAAACACTTGTAGTAGAAAAGACACTTTGAACTGAATGGTCTGATGAAAAAAGTGACAAACCGATGAATGTATCTAGTAAGAGACATCTGCTCTCAAAACCTGGGTGTTGGGATTATGTATTAAAACTCAGTGAATTTGTTTCCAGGTCTTTACACAACAGGCTGACAATACCGATACACTAAGTGTCTATCAATAAATGAAGAAATTCACACCCAAAACCTTAACACATAAACACTGCTGTCTGAGATTGGGCTCTGAGGGATGGCAAATCCATTTCCCAAATACGTTTCTGTTTTTATTGTATCTACTCCCACCTTTCCTTACGCGTATGGTGACGAGGTTTAAAAAGCTTCCCATCCACGCACATATGATTTTTATTATAGCTTCTACAGGCCTCTTCTTTGTTCAAACTCAAGTTACCTTTGCTAGGATGCTTTTATAACATATAATTGTTAGACAAGATGAGACCTTGAGACAAAAATGTTGAAGTATTTTGTTATAATAATGATTTCAAAATAGAAAGAAAATGCCTTTACTTTATGATATTTGTAATTTAGAGGCTGAGAAAGAAGTAAAATACTGGATCCCAAAGGCTTAATTTCTCTAGTATAACTATATGTAGACGTGTGTGTGTGTTTATGTAACCACTGGCCATGCCAAGAGTATTTGGGTTGTCATGTGCTTCGACGTTATTTAACGTTTCTTTTGTTCTGTT